ATTGTGAAACAAACAAGAAATAAGACAAAAAAACTGAATTTGAACGTGCATAACTATTCACCCCCCCAAAGTCAATACTTTGTAGAGCCACCTTTTGCAGCAATTACAGCTGCAAGTCTCTTGGGGCATGTCTCTGTAAGCTTGACACATCTAACCACTGGGATTTTTGCCCATTCTTCAAGGCAAAACTGCTCCAGCTCCTTCAAGTTGGATGGGTTCCGCTGGTGTACAGCAATCTTTAAGTCATACCACAGATTCTCAATTGGATTGAGGTCTGGGCTTTGACTAGGCCATTCCAATACATTTAAATGTTCCTCTTTTAAACCACTCGAGTGTTGCTTTATCAGTATGCTTAGGGCCATTGTACTGCTGGAAGGTGAACCTCCGTCCCAGTCTCAAATCTCTGGAAGACTGAAACAGGTTTCCATCAAGAATTTCCCTATATTTAGCACCATCCATCATTCCTTCAATTCTGACCAGTTTCCCAGTCCCTGCCGATGAAAAACATCCCCACAGCATGATGCTGCCACCACCATGCTTCACTGTGGGGATGGTGTTCTCGGGGTGATGAGAGGTGTTGGGTTTGCACCAGACATAGCGTTTTCCTTGATGGCCAAAATGCTAAATTTTTGTCTCATCTGACCAGAGTACCTTCTTCCATATGTTTGGGGAGTCTCCTACATGCCTTTTGGTGAACACCAAACATGTTTTTTTCTGGCCACTCTTCCGTAAAGCCCAGCTCTTTGGCAAGTGTACGGCTTAAAGTGGTCCTATGGACAGATACTCCAATCTCCGCTGTGGAGCTTTGCAGCTCCTTCAGGGTTATCTTTGGTCTCTTTGTTGCCTCTCTGATTAATGCCCTGCTTGCCTGGTCCTTGAGTTTTGGTGGGCGGCCCTCTCTTGGCAGGTTTGTTGTGGTGCCATATTCTTTCAATTTTTTAATAATGGATTTACTGGTGCTCCGTGGGATGTTCAAAGTTTCTGATATTTTTTATAACCCAACCCTGATCTGTACTTCTCCACAACTTTGTCAATGACCTATTTGGAGAGCTCCTTGGTCTTCATGGTGCCGCTTGCTTGGTGGTGCCCCTTGCTTAGTGGTGTTGCAGACTCTGGAGCCTTTCAGAACAGGTGTGTATATATATTAAGATCATGTGACAGATCATGTGACACTTAGATTGAACACAGGTGGACTTTATTTAACTAATTATGTGACTTCTGCAGGTAAATGGTTGCACCAGATCTTATTTAGGGGCTTCATAGAAAAAGGGGTGAATACATATGCACGCACCACGTTTCCGTTATTTATTTTTTAGAATTTTCTGAAACAAGTTTTGTTTTTCATTTCACTTCACCAATTTGGACTATTTTGTGTATGTCCATTACATGAACTCCAAATAAAAATCCATTCAAATTACAGGTTGTAATGCATAAAAATAGGAAAAGCGCCAAGGGGGATGAATACTTGTAGTGTACATAATAAGAAAATATAGAATAATTAATGAATTACAACCAATATATTAACAATGCAAACGCTAGCTGTATGTCACAGTAGAAGACCATTCAAATATCAGTCGCTGATTTGAGCAAGACCTTTAAACAGGTCAACATTCACAAGGCCGCGGGGCCAGATGGATTACCAGGACGTGTACTCAGAGCATACGTGGAACAATTGGCAAGTGTCTTCACTGGCATTTTCAACCTCTCCCTGACCGAGTCTGTAATACCTACATGTTTCAAGCAGACCACCATAGTCCCTGTGCCCAAGAAAGCGAAGGTAACCTGCCTAAATGACTACCGACCCGTAGCACTCACGTCGGTAGCCATGAAGTGCTTTGAAAGGCTGATCATGGCTCACATCAATACCATCATCCCGGAAACCCTAGACCCACTCCAATTCGCATACTGCCCCAACAGATCCACAGATGACGCAATCTCAATCGCACTCCACACTGCCCTTTCCCACCTGGACAAAAGGAACACCTATGTGAGAATGCTGTTCATTGACTACAGCTCAGCGTTCAACACTATAGTGCCCACAAAGCTCATCACTAAGCTAAGGACCCTGGGACTAAACACCTCCCTCTGCAACTGGATCCTGGACTTCCTGACGGGCCGCCCCCAGGTGGTAAGGGTAGGCAACAACACATCTGCCACGCTGATCCTCAACATGGGGGCCCCTCAGGGGTGCGTGCTTAGTCCCCTCCTGTACTCCCTGTTCAACCACGACTGCGTGGCTAAGCACGACTCCAACGCCATCATTAAGTTTGCTGACGACACAACAGTGTTAGGCCTGGTCACCGACAACAATGAGACAGCCTATAGGGAGGAGGTCAGAGACCTGGCAGTGTGGTGCCAGGACAACAACCTCTCCCTCAATGTGAGCAAGATAAAGGAGCTGATCGTGGACTACAGGAAAAGGAGGGCCGAACATGCCCCCATTCACATCGACGGGGCTGTAGTGGAGTGGGTCGAGAGTTTCAAGTTCCTTGGTGTCCACATCACCAACAAACTATCATGGTCCAAATACACCAAGAAAGTCATGAAGAGGACACGACAATGCCTTTTCCCCCTCGGGAGGCTGAAAAGATTTGGCATGGGTCCCCAAATCCTCAAAAAGTTATACAGCTGCACCATGGAGAGCATCCTGACCGGTTGCATCCCCGCCTGGTATGGCAACTGCTCGGTATCTGACCATAAGGCGCTACAGAGGGCAGTACATCACTGGGGCCAAGCTTCCTGCCATCCATGACCTATATACTAGGTGGTGTCAGAGGAAGGCCCAAAAAATTGTCAAAGACTCCAGTCACCCAAGTCATAGACTGTTCTACATTGACCCCCCCTTTGTTTTTACACTGCTGCTACTTGCTGTTTATTATCTATGCATAGTCACTTTACCCCTACCTACATGTACAAATTACCTCGACTATCCTGTAACCCCTCACATTGACTCAGTACTGGTACCCCCTGTATATAGCCTCGTTATTGTTATTTTATTGTTACTTTTGATTTAATTTTTTACTTTAGTTTATTTAGTAAATATTTTCTTAACTCTATTTATTGAACTGCATTGTTGTTTAAGGGCTTGTAAGTAAGCATTTCACGGTAAGGTCTACACCTGTTGTATTCGGCGCATGTAACAAATAAAATGTGATTTGATTTGATAAATTCATGGGTATCATCGACCATAGATCAACAGTAGAAGTAATAATACATCAGATCAATGTTTTTATGTAAGAAAATAATTACATTCACAGTGCATTTGGAAAGGACAGACCTTTTCCCTTTTTACACATTTTGTTACATTACAGCCTTATTCTAAAATTCATAACATAAAACATTTTCCTCATCAATCTACACACAATACCCCATAATGACAAAGCAAAAACAGTTTTTTTTTTTACATTTACATAAGTATTCAGACCCTTTGCTATAAGACTCGAAATTGAGCTCAGGTTGATCCTGTTTCCATTGATTATCCTTGAGATGTTTCTACAACTTCATTGGAGTCCACCTGTGGTAAATTCAAATGAATGGACATGATTTGGAAAGGCACACACCAGTCTATATAAGGTCCGTAGAGCTCCGAGACAGGATTATGTCGAGGCACAGATCTGGGGAAGGGTACCAAAACATTTCTGCAGCATTGAAGGTCCCCAAGAACACAGTGGCCTCCATCATTCTTAAATGGAAGAAGTTTGGAACCACCAAGACTCTTCCTAGAGCTGGCCGCCCGGCCAAACTGAGCAATCAGGGCAGAAGGGCCTTGGTGAGGGGGGTGACCAAGAACCCGATGGTCACTCTGACAGAGCTCCAGAGTTCCTCTGTGGAGATGGGAGAACCTTCCAGAAGGACAACCATCTCTGCAGCACTCCACCAATCAGGTTTTTATGGTAGAGTGGCCAGACGGAAGCCACTCCTCAGTAAAAGGCACATGACAGCCCGCTTGGAGTTTGCCAAAAGGAACCTAAAGGACTCTCAGACCGTAAGAAACAAGATTCTCTGGTCTGATGAAACCAAGATTGAACTCTTTGGCCTGAATGCCAAGGCTCACGTCTGGAGGAAACTTGGCACCTTCCCTACGGTGAAGTACGGTGGTGGCTGCATCATGCTGTGGATATATTTTTCAGCGACAGGGACTGGGAGACTAGTCAGGATTGAGGGAAAGATGAATAGTGCAAAGTACAGAAAGATCCTTGATGAAAACCTGCTCCAGAGCGCTCAGGACCTCAGACTGGGGAGAAGGTTCACCTTCCAACAGGACAATGACCCTAAGCACACAGCCAAGACAACGCAGGAGTCCGGACTTGAACCTGATCGAACATCTCTGGAGATACCTGAAAATAGCTGAGAGGATCTGCAGAGAAGAATGGGAGAAACACCCCAAATACACGTCTGCCACGCTTGTAGCGTCATGCCCAAGAAGACTTGAGGATGTAATCGCTGCCAAAGGTGCTTCAACAAAGTACTGAGTAAAAGGTCTGAATACTTATTTAAATGTGATATTTAAGATATTTTTGTCATGATGGATATTGTGTGTAGATTGATGAGAGATAAAAAAAAAAATCAATTTTAGAATAAGACTAACTTAACAAAATGTGGAAAAAGTCAAGTGGCCTGAATACTTTCTGAATGCACTGTACATAAAAAAAAAAACGTAGAAATACCATTATATAAGCTTATGAACGATATACAGATTTACAAATGTTTGTGTCACAACATTAAAACAGTCCCTGATCTTGTAGTCAGCTGCCAGAGTAGCACAGTTGTTTGATAGATGATATTCTCACAGTGATGTCACCTTGCCTGAGACCTGTCCAAGATGATTCACAATGTTCCTGATAATGATTCAATGTACAGATATATAGAAATATTCCCCCATCATATTGGGAGACTATAAAGAATAGAGTCCCTGATCTTGTAGTCTGCAGCCAGTGTACCAGAGTAACACAGGTAGGTTGTCTGGTAGACAGTAGCCTCACAGTGATGTCACCTTGCCTGAGACCTGGGGCTTGTGTAGTAAACTACAGACTGATGGGAGTGCTGGTGAGAATGGGGTCCAATCACGTTACACACCAACCACCTCTGGTCAGGATGGCTCCTCCTCAAAGTACTGCTCTCTGTCGCTGATAAATGTTTTGATATCTTCTAAAGGTTGTGAGGTGGTATCCATGGCTACCTCTGTCTGTCTGTCTCTCTCAGATCATTTATTAGTATAGTGATATTATATCTTCTGAGGTTGTGAGGTGGTATCCATGGCTACCTGTCTCAGACTGTCTGCTCTTCCAGGTCTTCGACCAGGTAGGGATTTACTTTCTTCAGGACCTGGTAGAAGTGTTCCTGGGCGCGAGCCCCCTTCCTCACAACCATGTCCAGCAGGGCTTGGTTCTGTAGGGTCTTGGTGGATTTGCTGTCCACCTCCTCCTTCTCCTCAGCATTCAGAACTTTGCATTCCTCCAGATGCAAGAGAATGGGCTGCAAGAGTCCCAGGCGAGTTTCTAGAGCAATCCTGTGTTTGGTAATGAAGTCCCGTCCTGGGAAAGTAGGGGGTCTGGCAGGAGTGGCTGCAGGGAGAGGGGCTGGGACAGAGAGAGAAAAAGGGACTATAACCTCAAGTGTTTATATTAAGAACATTAAAAGTATGATCAGTTTATATGAGATAAATAGTATTCATCAATGGTATTGCTCTTACAATACAGGACATCAGTAATTATCTCAGTAATAATACTCTTCCCAGTGGTAGGCCTATCTCTCCTTGGGAGTTGGGAGTTTCCATTATATTTACATTTCATTTTAGTCATTTAGCAGACGCTCTTATCCAGAGCGACTTACAGGAGCAACTAGGGTTAAGTGCCTTGCTTAAGGGCACATCGACTGATTTTTCACCTAGTCGGCTCGGGGATTAGAACCAGTGACCTTTCGGTTACTGCCACAACTGCTTAGTGCTTACAAAACGTTGACTGTTATATCTGAACTGTTACCTTGATATCTGTAGAAACCCTTCCACGGATATTCACGATTCACAAATAGACTGGACAGTAGGTCTAATGTGGACCAGGCTATATTCTTCTTCTTCTTCAACGTCAGTTCAGCTTTTTTTACTTTGGCAGGTAAGGATACCTCAAACGTTGTGGTGTAGTTTTCGTAGTCTTTATCAGTATCAAACTTTTTGGTCTGGATTTTTAAAAAAGGACAAACACATGACGGCATCAGTTTATGGAATTATACAACATTTGGCGTTAAACAACATTAACTTCATCTTGAAGTCTTTGGCCTAGATTCAATCAGTTCCAGCGCTAACCCACGCTAACCGACACCTGCATAGCAGATCCTTATTTTTATTTAGGCGATATGTGGGAGTTCAACTCGCTGAGCGGGCTGCTCTTGTCATTGTCACCGAAGGTTACGTATATAACCACGGTTATGTGAGCCATATGGATCACTCTATATATTGGTATCACTGTGGCGGAGGGATACATCCGAGGTGAGGATTTACAGATTTACTCCCGTGTACACGTGTGTCACGGCTGGGGTCCGTCCCTATATATAGACCCCATGGCCGCGACACACATTCTCAAACATCATCTTTGAGGCGCCTCTAGCGCCATATAGCTCACATAACCATGGTTACCTTCGTTACGTTTCACTATATTGGTGCCACATTTACCCGATAGTACCTAGCAAAGGTGCAAGAGGTGCAAGAGGAAGCCCAGCTGGCTGCAGCACAGATATCAGCGAGGGGCACTCCTCTCAGTAGAGCCCAGGACGCAGCCACACCTCGTGTTGAATGTGCCACCACAGATCCCAGCACTGGCCTGCCAGCCAGGCGGTATGCTGTCGTAATCATGTCCACGATCCAGTGAGAGAGCCTCTGCTTTGATAGCCCAACCCCCAGGACTCTCTCACCATAGCAGACAAAGAGCTGGTCTGTTGTTCTCACTGACCGTGTCCGCTCCACATAGGCAGCCAGTGTCCACACAGGGCACAGCATGCCGGAGGGAGACCCACAGGGCACAGCATGCTGGAGGGAGGCCCAGAGGGCACAGCATGCCGGAGGGAGGCCCAGAGGGCACAGCATGCCGGAGGGAGGCCCAGAGGGCACAGCATGCCGGAGGGAGGCCCAGAGGGCACAGCATGCCGGAGGGAGACCCACAGGGCACAGCATGCCGGAGGGAGACCCACAGGGCACAGCATGCCGGAGGGAGGCCCACAGGGCACAGCACGCCGGAGGGAGGCCCAGAGGGCACAGCACGCCGGAGGGAGACCCACAGGGCACAGCATGCCGGAGGGAGGCCCAGAGGGCACAGCATGCCGGAGGGAGGCCCAGAGGGCACAGCATGCCGGAGGGAGGCCCAGAGGGCACAGCATGCCGGAGGGAGGCCCAGAGGGCACAGCATGCCGGAGGGAGGCCCAGAGGGCACAGCATGCCGGAGGGAGGCCCAGAGGGCACAGCATGCCGGAGGGAGGCCCAGAGGGCACAGCATGCCGGAGGGAGGCCCAGAGGGCACAGCATGCCGGAGGGAGACCCACAGGGCACAGCATGCCGGAGGGAGACCCACAGGGCACAGCATGCCGGAGGGAGGCCCACAGGGCACAGCATGCCGGAGGGAGGCCCAGAGGGCACAGCATGCCGGAGGGAGACCCAGACTCCCCCGCCACTGCCGGGGGGTCGTAAGCAGACAGGATAAAAGGGACGTTCACATGCCTGTCTGACAGAACCTTCGGGAGGAACGAAGGGTTGGGGTAGAGATATACTCCTCCCACCGGGGTCCATCCGGTACCACACAGAACTTACCGAAAAAAAATGGAGCTCACCCACCCTCTTCATGGAAGTAATCACTACCAAGAAAACCACCTTCATAGAGAGGTGTTTCAGGGAGGCAGACTCCAACGGTTCAAAAGGCAGCTTTGCCAAAGCTGCCAAGACCACATCCAGATCCCAGCTCGCCATTGACCGGGTCCTAGCTGGACGCAAGCAACGAACCCCCTTCATAAACCTGGAGACCAAGGGATGGCGCCCCATTGGCCTGTCCATCCACCCCACATGGCGGCAGGTCCAGAATAGGTCGAAACCGTCTCTTTTTGGGACCACAAAATAAGCCTCAGGGTTTTCTTCTTCAGGGGGTCGGCCACCGTGGTGACACGAAGGCCCCTGAAGGACTGGGGCCGGCAATGGATTTGGAGTCGGTACCCCTCGAGCATTGTGGACAACACCCAGGGGGACTCCGCAGAGAAAATGAAAGAGAACGTGTGTCTCGGCCATGGGGTCTATATATAGGGGCGGACCCCAGCCGTGACACAGGTGTCCGCGGGAGCAAATCTGTAAATCCTCACCTCGGATGTATCCCTCCGCCGCGGAGTGATAACAATACATTGGAGTGATCCAATATAGTGAAACATAACACACCTGTATCAGCCTAATTAAGGTGTAGATTACAACACACGTTCCACTGTTCCAATTTGTAACAACGCTACATGGGATTATTACTAACGCCACTCAGTGCATCTAATGGTAATATCCACGAAAGGTATAACGACGGGAGCCGTTTGCTGACTTGACAGCTCTAACGCATTTACACCTCCGACATCACCTAAATAAAAACAATGAAACTGCTATGCAGATACTAATGCGGATCTGATTGAATCAAGCCCTTTTTCCTGTTATTCAGTGGATGTTGAACTATTAACCATCACTACCTTAGGTGTCACCTGATGATACCCATCAGTGGAGAGGCTGTAAGTCTGATCAGGGGTCAGTTCACAGTCAGAGGTTGTTTCAATGAAGGTTTCTCTCAAGCCATTCCTCCTCGCCCTCTCCTCTTGCACCTAGAGTAGAGGAGTAGATGATCTTGTTGAGAGAAAAATATCTTCACAATAACAAAAGCTAGGATTCAGAATGGTCATTTAAAATGACTGATAGGACACTAAGTAAAATGTCAGTTATGGCATTACAGTAGTCACCTTCATTAGGACAACGTTCCGAGGCAGCAGCAACACATACAGTACAGACTCCAGTTCAGGGTCATCTGATGGTCGGTGGAACAACAACACAAGTGCTTTGATAGGGAAGACAGGAGCTTCCTTATCCTTGGTGAGGCCATAAGCAGAGAATCCAGTGATGTTTATGATGATGTGTGTTTCTGTTATCTCATGAGGATCGAGAAATTCAATTATGTCATCAGTCACATGGGCTACAGACAGGAAGTCACATCCATCGCCTGGGAAAGAAAGATAAAATAGCATTGTTGGTTAGAAAGTAACAAGAGATAGATAACGCTACTCTCACTTGTCTTTTTAATTGTGTAGTTACCAGGGTAGATCTCACAGTGTGGAAGGCATAGTTGACAGATAGACCCATTAAGGCATGTAAACTTGAACAGGGGTCCTGCAGGTCTCTTGCCACTCTGGGCTAGAAGCCTCCTGTCCCAGGGGACTGTCCTATAGAGCACCTCTCCCTCTCCCTCCATCCTAAACACCAGGCCTGTTATACTGCACTGGAACAGACCTGCACTGGGGCACTGGAACCTGTAGTGTGTGACAAATGTATGACATACAGTGCATTTAAAATAGGAAAAACACATCTGAGTTTGCTTGTTGTTGGTGTGTGGGAATAATTCAATGATATCTTAAAAGCAAAATAAATACCTGCACACTGCCAGTATCACGTTGTTTATGGAAGTTGTTTCATTAGATCTTTAATAAGTGATACTGCCAAGATCAGTGTGTGGGTCTTTCTTTTAAAATGACAAATGGCATAAACTGTTCTATAAGACTTCAAATTCTTGAAGTTAAATAAGTTCCATTTAAATGTATCTACTATCCTTTCAGAAATGGAAAACTATGAATGTAAAAACAAGTAAGAGAATACCAAGTTACCGGTATGTTCCAATGTCCTCCTGATCATAGATTACTGGTGCAAAGTCCTCAGGAAACCTCTAAAATGTAAAAACAATATATACTGAACAAATATTTTGAATTATAAACTGGGTGGTTTGAGCCCTGAATGCTGATTGGCTGACAGCCATGGTATATCAGACCGTATACCACGGGTATGATAAAACATGTATTTTTACTGTTCTAATTACGTTGGTAACCAGTTTATAATAGCAACAAGGCACCTCTGGGGTTTGTGGTATATGGCCAATATACCACGGCTAAGGGTTGTATGCAGGCTGTTCACAGCCCTTAGCCATGGTATCTATTTATGGTAAATTGGCCATATACCACACCCCCTCGGGCCTTATTGCTTCAATATTCAACTGGTCTGTCGGTCTGTCTGTCTGTCTTTCCAGTGAAGGTCTTACCAGAGGAGGGTCAGTAGTACACAGGCCCTGGTCCACTATTCTACATTCTGTGATGTTTAACTTCTCCATGGCATTAGGTGCTTTATAAACTCTGTGATGTTTAACTTCCCCATGGCATTAGGTGCTTTATAAACTATGTGATGTTTAACTTCCCCATGGCATTAGGTGCTTTATAAACTCTGTGATGTTTAACTTCCCCATGGCATTAGGTGCTTTATAAACTCTGTGATGTTTAACTTCCCCCATGGCATTAGGTGCTTTATAAACTCTGTGATGTTTAACTTCCCCCATGGCATTAGGTGCTTTATAAACTCTGTGATGTTTAACTTCCCCCATGGCATTAGGTGCTTTATAAACTCTGTGATGTTTAACTTCCCCCATGGCATTAGGTGCTTTATAAACTCTGTGATGTTTATATTCTCCATGGCATTAGGTGCTTTATAAACTCTGTGATGTTTAACATCCCCATGGCATTAGGTGCTTTATAAACTCTGTGATGTTTAACTTCCCCATGGCATTAGGTGCCTTATAAACTCTGTGATGTTTAACTTCCCCATGGCATTAGGTGCCTTATAAACTCTGTGATGTTTAACTTCCCCATGGCATTAGGTGCTTTATAAACTCTGTGATGTTTAACTTCCCCATGGCATTAGGTGCCTTATAAACTCTGTGATGTTTAACTTCCCCATGGCATTAGGTGCCTTATAAACTCTGTGATGTTTAACTTCCCCATGGCATTAGGTGCTTTATAAACTCTGTGATGTTTAACTTCTCCATGGCATTAGGTAAGCCTAATATACTCTGTGATGCTTAACTTCTCCATAGCATAAGGCAAGCTGTCAGTCAGTATTCTGACTTGTTCCTCACTCCAATTGAACCCTTGCTAGATGAAAGCCAACTAGCAGAGAATTTTACTTGGTGACAGTCTCTTTCTGTTGGTCAATGTTCGTCTGCCTGTCTCCATGTCTTTTACCAGGTATTGTTGTTGTGAACCCAAACATCCCCTCTCCTCCTCACCTCTCTCTCTAACTTCTTCGACAGATCCCAGGTCATCTTCTTCAGGATCTCCGGTGAGATCTGCACAGCTTTCTCAGGGCCGGAGGGTTCTCATTGCATGAAGGAAAGATACTCACTCAATGTAGCTATAAGCAACAAATTTAACGTTTAAAGAACAGATGAATTGGTATTGCTGTTTTACCTGTGTGATCTCTCTGTAACTTCTCTGTGAGATCATGTTCATTCATCCAACTCAGGATCCTCAGTGTGACCTTCACAGCTCTCTCAGGGCCGTATCTCTTCTCCATCTGACCCACTGTGACCTGTCTGTCAGCGTTCTCCAGCTGGCTCTCTGGGATGGGAGGAAAGCCAAGCAGCTGGCCACTAGTCAGGTAGTTTTTAAATGTCTTCAGCTCGTTTGTGTTCAGCTGCTCCAGAGTGGTCAGCAGCCAAGCTGGAACAGAGAGGATAGGAGAGAGATGTCCTACATGTCAGATATAGTTCATGTATTGTTCAGCCTCGCCTCCAGGCTTCTTTTTCTTATATCAGTTTTTCCTGTATTTCCAATAAGCTTCTAGTCCCCTACAAACGTTACACTTACTCACTCTTCAGTTGATTGGCTAGAATTTAGGAAACTCAAGAAGAGATGTACAGCCATGATTAGACAGTGAAATCTGCTTTTATCTTGCAATATCTTAGCTATGTCTACTGAGCCACTGTACTGTTGATTTTATACATAATGTGTAATGAATTATTGATTTCTGTTTAATCACAATGATATCACCTGGATACATACAATAAATAAAAGAGGTGCCTGCTGAATGTTATTATGAAGTCAGTTGAATGTTCTTTCTGGTTAGACCTACACTGAACTGTGATTGTGATTTATAGATTGATGTATATTCTTGTTATGTTACCTCTAGTGTGATCTCTCTTTAACTTCTCTATGAGATAATCTAGATTCATCCTCCTCAGGATCTCCACTGTGATCTCAACTGCTCTCTCAGGGCGAAAACTCTCCACCATCTCATCCACTGTGACCTGTCTGTCAGCGTTCTGCAGCTGTCTCTCTGGGATGGGAGGACAGTCAGGCAGCAGGCCACTAGTCAGGAACCACATAAATGTCTTCAGCTGTTCTTCAGTGAGCTCCTCCAGAGTGGTCAGCAGCAGAGCTGAAACATCCAAAATGGAGGGTCTCTAAAATAACAAGGATGACAAGATATAAATAAAAGGATAGAAATATTGGCTACTGATATAACGAACATGAACATAGCCACACACACATACAAACACACAACATGGTACAGGAATATATTCATCGCTTTTTTGGTGTGTGTGTGTGTGTACAGGTGTATTAACATACGAGGGTAGAACTGTAGAACTGACTATGACAGTGAGTACAGGTGTTTTAACATATGAGGGTAGAACTGACTATGACAGTGAGTACAGGTGTTTTAACATAGGAGGGTAGAACTGTAGAACTGACTATGACAGTGAGTACAGGTGTATTAACATACGAGGGTAGAACTGACTATGACAGTGAGTACAGGTGTATTAACATACGAGGGTAGAACTGTAGAACTGACTATGACAGTGTGTCACGAATTCAGCCGAGGCTGCCCCTCCTCCTTGCTCGGGCAGGTTTCGGCGTTCGTCGTCACCGGCTTACTAGCCACTACCGCTCCATTTATCATCACTCCATTTGTCTTGTCTTGTCTTGTCTTGTCAATCACACACACCTGGTACTCATTCCCTCATTAGTCTGTGTATAAGTGTTCCCTCTGCCCCCTTGTCCTTTGTGAGTGATTGTTCGTTGTGAGAGTGAGTAGCTCGGTTTACTTGTATGCAGCCAAGGTTGATTTTCCCTTGTGCTAGTTTTGTTCTGTCGCTATATGCGCTACATGATTGTACACTGAATAAACTCTGGATATCTGTGTTTTACCTTCTGCGCCTGCACCTCATCACAGAATCACTCACCAGCTATGGAGTCAGCGGGAGAAGAGCGCACACCTGGAATCGTGGCAAGGGTCCAGGAGCATTCCACGATGCTGGCCAGCTTAGGGGAAGCGATGGATCGGGTTCTTCAGATCGTCCAACGCCTGGAGAGAAGAGGAACCGATCTGTCGAGACCAGCTGGACAACCGGATCCAGCCACCTACATCACAGCACCCAGAGGGATCCAGATATCCCGACCTCGGGCGTTCGATGGGACGCCGGCTCTATGTCAGGGATTCCTTCTCCAACTGGAGCTGTACTGCTCAAGTGTCAGGCCGGCGCCATCAGATCGTGAGTAGGTGTCCGTCCTCATTTCCTGCCTCTCGGGGAAAGCCCTGGAGTGGGCCAACGCGGTTTGGAGAAAAGGAGGAGCCGCGTTGGAGGACTACAGGGAGTTCGCCCGCCTATTTCGGGTCGAGAGGCGGGTGTTCGCCCGAGGGTCGAGAGGCGGGTGAGCAGCTGGTCCACTTGAGGCAGGGGACGAGGACAGTACAGGAGTTCGTGCTGGAGTTCCGGATCCTGGCAGCAGGGTCCGGGTGGAACGAGCGGGCCCTGATCAACCAGTTCCGGTGCCATCTACAGGAGGACGTCCGACGGGAGCTAGCCTGCCATGACACCAGTTTGTCTTTTACCGAACTGGTAGACATGGCCATTCGTCTGGATAACCTGCTGGCAACCAGAGGACGTCCTGGAGGAGGTCTGCCCGTTCCCGCCCCAACCGACGCGGATCCAGAGCTCATGGAGCTGGGTGGTACTGCGCACGAGAGAGCGGAGGACGACAGTGCCAGTGCCACTCGGACGGCACAAAGGGACATTCCACCACACGTTGTCGTCAGCGCTATTTTGGGTCAGGAGGCGGCCGGCAGGGCACTCTTGCATCACCCCAGGTATTGAGCATCCACTCTGGTTCAGAGCCCTCTGCTAAGCACTGTACTATACCCATATACTTCCCTGATCACATGAGAGTTCCCCAGTGTAAGGCGCTAGTCGATTCAGGATAAGCTGGGAACTTTATGGACAAAACTTTCGCATGCCGCCAGGGCATTTCATTAGTTCCCCTAGCCATTCCACGCCCCATCAGAGCACTTGATAGTCGACCATTAGGGTCTGGGTTGATAAAGGAAGTCACGGTACCAGTCACCATGATCACACAGGAGACGCATTGTGAGCAGGTCACTTTTTCCATTATTGAGTCTCCTGCTTTCCCTGTGGTGTTAGGTATTCCATGGCTAGCACTCCATAACCCCACTTTCTCATGGCCGCAGAGGGTTCTCACGGGGTGGTCGCGAAAGTGTCAGGGTAGGTGTATGGGTGTTTCCGTTGGTGCAACCATGGTGGAAAGTCCAGACGGTGCCTCCACCGTGCACGTTCCCCCCGAATACCATGATCTGGCACAAGTCTTCTCTGAAAATAAAGCGACTAAATTACCACCTCATCGGGCGGGGGATTGCACAATAAACCTTCGGGTAGACGCTGTACCTCCCAGGAGTCATGTGTATCCCCTGTCGCAGGCGGAGACGGAGGCTATGGAGACATACGTCACCTAGTCCCTGCGCCAGGGGTACATACGTCCCTCCACTTCACCCGCCTCCTCAAGTTTATTTTTTGTGAAGAAGAAAGACGGCGGTCTGCGCCATGCATTGACTATCGACCACTGAACAAGGAGACGATTAGATTTAGTTATCCTCTCCCCCTCATTCCGTCAGTGGTTGAGTCATTGCATGGAGCACGCTTCTTCACTAAATTAGATCTCAGGAGTGCGTACAACCTGGTGCATATCAAAGAGGGAGATGAGTGGAAGACATCATTTAGCAAAACCACGGGGCATTGTGAATACCTGGTGATGCCCTATGGTTTGATGAATGCTTCCTCAGTCTTCCAGTCCTTTGTGAACGAGGTGTTTCGGGACATGCTTGGTCGCGGTGTAGTGGTCAACATCGACGACATCTTGGTGTATTCCGCTACGTGCGCCGAGCATGTGTCCCTGGTTCGCAAAGTACTGGCCCAACTGTTGGAAAATGACATTTATGCTAAGGCAGAAAAGTGTATGTTTTTCCAGCAGTCCGTCTCCTTCCTCG